AGGGCTCCCTTTACATAAATTAGTAGATAGAAAAAAATGCCAATAATTATAGATATAATAATTCATTCTGTATTTCATTTGGACTATTGAAGTTCTATGAACCCCTCAAGTTTTGCATAGCAAATGCTATACCAATAGCAACAAAAAAAAATCAGTTCAAGATTATATTTGATGATTAAATAATTCAGGCAAAAAAGGACATTCAAGGAATGATGCTATCAATATATATAAGACAGTTTTTTGATAGCAGTTGTTTTAGTAATAGTTTTACATGTCAGGAACTGTTCTACATGTTATCACAGATATGTAAACTTAATGATAACCCATTTGCCACCTCCCAAACCGCGCCCCTGCCATGAACATTCAGAGATTAAATACTTGCGTAAAGACAGTAAAAGGAGAGAAGAACTGAAATTCATACCCAAATTCACTAAACTTAAAAAAGCCTACCCTGTTTTGATCAAACAACTTTATAGATTCCACTTTTAAATACATATAACTATCGTACAAAAAAAACTAAATTCCCTGTATCACACCTACTTTTCTTAAGAACCTACATATGTATTTATGCAATCAATTAACACACACAAAAACTCAGCTCAAGTTTGAGGTCCTCTTGCTCCTATTCTACTCTAGAATATATTATTTGGAGAGACAAAAGAAAAATATCACAAAGTCCATGCCTCCCTAGAAACTGCTTCCCATTTCTAGGGGCTTTATGCTGCCTGGGAAAGCACACCTCTTTCCTATACAATCTCCCTAAAGTCATGTCATACTGCTCAAGTTAAAGTGATCAACAGTCATTTATTAAACGCTATACAAAGAGCTTTGCATTCCTTAAGTTTGTAACACTGAAGTGTTATAAGCTCTCCTGAAGAGAATGTACATGCCTGGAGTATGACCTAAAATGAACAATGGCACCAAGTGCTTAATCAAGGCACAATAAGTAGTATGCTCATCAAAAGCAAACATTTTTTTCCCTACCAAATTTTCTTAAAAGCTCAAAATTCCACAATCCCTTAACTGATAAGTTTATAGAGCTAGGAAGAGAAACTGATCTGTCTTGGAAGAAGACTACATGCTCCCTGGAGTTAAGGATGATGTGGTAATTACATAAACTGTTGTCAATTTGAGACTTAAGAGTGAAGGGGTGGAGTTTAGCCTGTCAGTCAGGTCACAGCTTGATGACCTCATTTGGAGGCGCTAAGGAGATAAATAGCTCACTGGAGGCGAGACACATGTTCATTTCTTGTGCGGCATTCCAGCTGACAAGACACATGGAGCTACGAGGAGCTGGAGAGCCACGTAGAGACCCCTGCCAGTGCTGAGATGTTTACAATGCCACTGGATCCACAACACTTCCCACCCACTGACTTGTGATCTTCCTGCATTCGGCTTCATTTCACGTGTTCCGTGAGTCCGAAGTGGACTTTATAGAATGGTATTCGACAAATGGGCTAATATCGGACTTATGGACAATCTGGACTGGGCTTGGACGTTTTCTCAAGATTTGATTGTTCTTATATATTAAGCTCTTTCTTACATATAACAGTCTCCCTGGATTTGTTTCTCTAGTCTACATGGACTAACACAGATGGCAAGCAAGACTTTATCTTACAGACTTTGGACATATTGTCAGGAGAGACCAGTCCCTGGAGAAGAACATCAAGCTTCGTAAAGTGGAGGGGCACCAAAAAAAGAAGAGCCTCAACGAGATCAATTTTCACCACAGCTGCAACAATAGGCTCAGGCATAGGAACACTCGCAAGCACGGAGCAGGATTGTGCAGTGTTTTGTGCTGTTGTGCATAGACAGAGATTGGGTCACTAATGTCTCCAAATAAACTGGCTATAGCGGGATGATGGCACCAGAAGAATCTGACAAGGTATACAGGGGGCGGGGGGAGAGAAAAGGAGGAGGAGGGGCAGTGATAGGCAGAGAGAGTAGGGTGGCACAACTGAGAAAAAAACAATAGGGGAGTCTAAGCGCTTGGCATTCTTCAAATTGTAACTCTTGCTTATTAAAAAAAAGAACTTGGGTGTATTTTTTTAAAGACCACTATTGAAAATAAAATGATAAAAAAATAACACAGCATCTCTTTAGAAAAACAAAATGTGAGGTAATTTATACCTTGAGCCTATACTATTCTTGTAAGCCAACACTAAGCTGTCTTCTAGTGCCTTTTGTTCCTCATAAGAAAGCTGCCTACACAAGGTCACAGACTTGCGTATGGTAGAACGAGGACGGCAACCCACTCTTTGTAACCAACAGTTCTGGGGCCACTGTGATGAGGAAAAGCAGCTTATTACATACACTGTACACCACATCTTCAAATAAATGCCTTCTTTCGGGGTGCCAGAGTGTATCTACAGAGCTACTCCCTTGTTTTCTGAGTATTTCTTAATCTTATAAATGCAGAAGTTGACAAACTATTGTCTGGAGCCAGCTTTTACATGGTCCAAAGAAGAAAAAATGATTTGGGCATTTTTAAAGCATTGCTTAAAACAAACGAAATAAGAAGAAGAGAAAAATATACAACAGAGACTTTGTGTCCTGAAAAACCTACGATATTTGTTAGATGACCCATTAGAGAAAATGTGTTGACTTTTGTTCTAGAGTAATGCTACCTATGAGAACTCTCTGGTGACACAAAGGCTCCACAAATCTGCACTGTCCAATAGGGTAATCACTTATAATGTGTTGAGTGCAGATGAGGAAGTAAAAATTTAATTTTCTTTAACATATTATGCTAAATTTGTTGAAGTTTAAATGGTCATGGAGCGATTGACTTATAAGATAATGTAGCTCTACAGCGATACCAGGAGGGGAAAGTGAAGGTGGGAGAGAAAGGGGGAACTGATCATAATGGTCTACATATAACCCCCTCCCTCGGGACCGGACAACAGAAAAGTGAGTGAAGGCAGACATCAGACAGTGTAAGACATGACAAAATAATAATAATTTATAAACTATCAAAGGGTTCATGCGGGAGGGTGGGGGAAAGAGGGGGGGAAAAAAGAGGAGCTGATACCAAGGGTTCAAGTAGAAAGAAAATGCTTTGAGAATGATGATGGCAATAAATGTACAAATGTGCTGGACACAATGGATGGATGTATGGGTTGTGATAATAACTGTACGAGCCCCCAATCAAATGATTAAAAAAAAAAAGAGAGATAATGCAGCTCTAGAAATGGCACAATTTGGGTGTTCTCTTTATTTTCTTATTGTGGGTAATAAAGTGTCAGAATTTTTATTGCGCAATCCTACTTCTCAGAAACTTTTAAATTGGGTTAAAAAGCTTCTTATTAAAAAGGCTGTTATGGGCTAGGGATCAGAGAACTACAACTGCAAATCGTTATAAATAAGGTCTTATTGGAAAACAGCCAAGTACATGTTTATATATTCTCTATGGCTACTTTCACTATAATGGCAGATGTACACAGTTAGGACAGATGTGTGGCATGCAAAGCAAAGTATTTACTATTTGACCCTTCATAAAAGTTTGCTGACCCCTGTTCTAGGCTGATGCCTAGAAAATGGTAGTAGTCAGCCCCTAATAAAATGTTTAAAAAATTAAAAAATAAAATAAAAGAAAAGAAAAAAGGGGAAAAAAAAAAAGAAAATGGTAGTAGTCATTTTCATAAAAGAAAGTCATATAATTAGTAATAAGATTATTTTAATATTAGAAAGTAACAGATGAGCTTTCTCAAATCAAGTATACACTTTGTACTTTTCACTTGTACTGCTTACTTGGCTAAGAAGGGGTTAAATCAAAGTCTGGACACTTCCACAGAGAGTGAGAGCTGCAACTAGGAACGTGGGTGTTTCCCTGTTCTGGCCGTGTTCCAACAAGCTGCATTATCTCAGAGCAGCTCGCTCTGTCATCCACAAAATGCAGTACCATTCTCTCCCCAGTATGAGAACTAACAGCTGATCCCAACTTTCTCTGAGCGTCTCTGCAAACTTGAAACCATCAATGTTACGATGTCGAAGCTGCAAGCACACCAAGCACCTTGGAGTGTCTGCCTTCCATTTCACTAACTTACTTTGCTCTCTAGTCTCTCTCTCATTCCTACCAATAGGCCTAAATTTAAGAAACATGAGGAAAATGATACCTTAGACTAGTTCTTGTTAGCTGCTTCTCCTCCAATAATAATTAACTCTCTCACCACGGCCATTTATTTGCTCTGCTTCTGTGTGAATGGGAGGTGGCTACAACTTCTAGAATTTTCCACCCACTGCCCTGCCCCCTGGCACTCTTCAGCACATACAGCGGTAACAGGTCTTTGTGCTGCTGTGACCCAAAACAAGGAGGTAACATAGAGCACCCATGCAAAGGCTGTTTCATTATACCACAATACTGAAACGGCCTTAAACACACTTGCAGCCACATTTACTAAATGTATGTTGGTATGGAAATTTGCCTTTTTGTGTCTTTTGATGTGTCAGTTTAAGACTATTCAAGTTAAGGTGCTTCCCTATCTCATGAGTTACAATGAATATAATATACTTCCTGCTTTTCACTGATTTCAAGGTGAACAATGAAGTGAGACCTTTAGCAATGGGATGGAAGGTATGGATGAATTTGATGCAACTGAAAGCTAACAAAAGGCTAAGATATCTACCGAGAGTGATAAATACCTTATCTCTCATGCACAGAGGAAAATACACACAGAATTACAAAAGTAAGCTTAAGAAATACTCTGAAGTCAACTCTCCTAAAAACCAATCTTCTGCACTAATAACCAGAATGCTGCCTATGATGATACCTAGAGTTTTGACACTAAAAAAGTTCAACTTCAAAAGAAACTCTTTCCTAAGAACTTGTATTAAAATTAGAGTTACTAATGTTTATTTAAAACTTAACCACATTAATGCTATCTCCTTTATTTCAAAATCCGAAGTAATAATTACATTATCTTAAAATAAGTAATGAATATGTGAAAAGTACTTAGCAGTATAAACATTAATTGGAAAAAAAAGGTTAAGTGGTACTTTACCAACAAACATTTCATGAGTAGGTGTCCTAGTAGTAAAAGTGGATACGTCTGAAGAAATGGGAAGGTGAACATCACCACTACTTTTTGTGAGGAAAGGATTTAAGCTTGAAATGGCATCATCAACAGCATCTACAGTAGCAGAGAAAGGATCTGTGCAGTCCAAGTCAATTATGGCAAAATGAAGAAAGGAGGCAAATAAATTAGTATTGAGATTAGTCAAAAAGCACAAAGTGAAAAGTAGTAGCTATATTATTCTTTATTAATTATGAATATTAAAAACTCGTTATCATGAGGGAAGACTGTATTTAACATATTTTAAAATGAATCCTTAAAGACAAAACACTTGTATCTCTATAACAGTAACGGCCTACTACTAAGTACAGAATCCTTTTTCAACAGCAAGAAGCCAAGGGTCAGATAGTTCAATAATAACCAAAATATGTCTATGAAAGAATCACCCACTCAGAACTCCACTTCCTTGCCCAAGGTGAGAGCACACTGCCTTTGGTGGCATAGCTATATTTATGTTAACATCTGATATGAGCAAATGATATGTGTGTGGGGTCAGTAAAATTTCAAAACAGAGAGGTATATAAATGTTTTGCAATTGTACTGCTGTTACAGAAAACAGTTGTGTGGTTTCTCAAGAGGCCCTATAAATCCACTCCTCAATGAAGTTACAAAAGCACTGAAAGCAGGAACTCAAGCAGATACGTGTATGCCAATATTCACAGAACAATTATTCATAACTGCCCAAAGATGGAATTAATACTGGTGTCCACCAATAAATGAACAAAATGTGGTAGAAACAAATAGTAGATTATTCAGTCATAAAAAGGAATTATGTGTTAACATCCAGACTACAGCACGGATGAATCTAGAAGGCATTATACTATGTGAACAGGTCATACACAAAAGGACAAACTATAATGATCCCACTTCTCTGAAATATCTAAAATAGCCAATTTATAGTGACACAAAGTCTACTGGAGGGTACCAGGTCTGGGTCTCGCAATGCAGAGTCACTGCTCAATGGGTGCTGTGTCTTGTATGGAAGAGGGAAAATGTTTTGAAATGATGGTGAAGGTCGCATGACATTGTGAATATTATCAAAGTCGATGAATTTTGCATTTAAACTGGCAAGTGCTATGTTTTATCATATTACAACTCTGAAAACACACACACACACACACACACACACACACACAACCCAGCAAAATGAAAAGAGAGAAGGAAACTGCAGGTTAGATGCAAAAAGGTATTTGTAGCGCGGGGAAATAATTCTTACACAGGTTTAACATACGAAGCTGAAAAATAAAGAGGAAGAAAAAGTCTAAAGCAGTGGTTCTCAATCTTCTTAATGCCGCGGCCCTTTAATACAGTTCCTGATGTTGTGGTGACCCCAACCATATAATTATTCTTGTTGCTACTTCATCACTGTAGTTTTGCTACTGTTATGAATTGGGTGACCCCTGTGAAAGGGTCTTTCGATGCCCAAAGGGTCACGCCCCACAGGTTGAAAACCACTGGTCTAAAGGAAAACTGATTTCAGAAAACCAAAGCAGAGACAAAGGATGAGCTATTAGGCAAGCAGGGAAGAGCTATGAAGGCTAGATAAAATTTGAGATTCTTTAAATGATCTGATGAATGAATAATATGTGTTGTTTCCTACTAGAATCACAGCACATATGTACTGTTATCAAATCCTACATCTAATGTTAATCTAGAATCATTTATTATACATACACCTCATCTATGGTTATGATCATTCTTATAATTGAAAGTCATTTATTTTATCATCCTAAGATATACGAAGTAAATGGGAAGAGAAAACTAAAGAAGAATAAAATCGAGTGTCCTAAGTTTTTCTCTTACAAACTTGGAAGCACTCCCTTGCTTCCAGACAGGACCCCTTCTTCATAGCTGGATGAGGTAGCTTTTGGTCCTCTCTGAAGATAATGTGACATTAATCACAGTACTAATTATTCCATTTTACTGTTAAGAATTTATGATTGAACAATAAAGATGAAAGCAATGGTCTGAGAGACAATATGAACATTTCCTTAAAGGCAGTAAATTAAAGTTAAGTGTCCCATACACCACTGCTGAAAATGGAAATACCAAAAAATATTTAGGACATTGGTTCAAGTACAACAATTTTAAAAATAAAACTTGAAATTTTGCATCAGATGAGAAGCTTTCTAGGAATTAAGTATTCTTATGGAACATCCCTTCACATCCAAAATAAAGTCCCACAAAAGTTTCAAAATATAGGAGAGGGCTTCAGAAATTTCATGGAAAAACAGAAGTGAAAGGAAATGGAATTTTCCCACAAACTCTCATAATGCTCCTCAAACTCAAGTGAGCATATTTCAACCTCTTCTCTTCTCAGCATCTTTCCCACCTATCCACTCCCCAGAATATGAGTAAGAGGAGAGGAAGGAATGAAAAACTAATTCAGAAATTAAAATGGAAAATAGATGGTATTTTATAAAATGGTAATATATGTTAGGTATTTGTATGAAAATAAGAATTTAACAAAGACCACTCTAATTTCTTGGTGCATAAGGTTAACTGCATGAAGTCTACAGATGACCAGTTAGGTTGATAGTATGTATTTTTTGGATACTTAGTTATCAGTGGCAAAGTTGTTAACATATAACTTCAATGGACAAGAAAAACAAAGAAGCCATGAGAGACGTTACTCAGAAAATGGGACATGACTTCTGTAACAGATCCATTTATAAGAAGACATATCTGAGAAAGGTTACTAATTATCAGCTGTTTCATTAATTGATACTATTTTATCCCAGCCCTGAATTCTAGTAACTTATTATATGAAGCATCTTCAAAAGGAATGTGCATAAATATGTGCAAATGCATGTACATTTAATCAACCAACAAATGAAATCATCTTCAAATCTAATTGAACACTGTAATCTAGGTGAAGTTAATTTTCTAGTGACAGAAAACATTACAAACAATAACAATTTCAGGAATTAGTAATAATAAATATTCCAGCTATTATAACTTAAAATTGATTTATCTAAGCTCACAATTTTAAATTTTTTCCCCATTATTGTTCTCACTACTCATAAAACTTATTTTTAAACTACACTAGAAATTTCAAAATAATTCAAAAAATTTACTACAATTAAACTAATACCAAAGAAATGAATTATTACCACCATGCTTGATAGGTACATTTACACATCGAAAATGGAATAGTTTGTTTTTTAAAGAAAATGTTAGGTATATCCTGCACAACATGACCCAAGTAAAGCTAACTGAGACTCAGGGTGGACCAATCTTTTTCATTTCATTTAAATTTTGAAATCTTGCCTAAAACGCACAACAATGCACAAAGCTGATATATAATGTGTGAATTTTAGACCTGCTGTAACTCAAAGTTTTCAGGGTGAAAAAACTTTAGTCTCCTCAGATATCAGTATGCAACCCCGTGCTTGCTTAGCTTCCAGACTACTTCTCGAGAAGTAAGCGGATTATTAACAAAGCAATGAGGCAAACTGGAGAGTGTTTCTTTCTCTCTTTTTCTCTCATCTATTTAGAAAGAAATCTACATTTGCTTTTGAAAAAGTAGTCAAGCTAAAACAACTAAAATGATCACATTAATTCTACAACTAATCTTTTCTAAAGAAATTCATAATAAAGCAGTAAATAAGTATATACAATTCGGGCAGATTAAAAATCTTACAATCAGGACATATCATTAAGATATTAAACTGCTTTCTTAACCTACAATTAATTCATTCTTAAGTAATTTAATATATTTCTTTGACAGAAATTATCATATAATTTTTAGAAATTATAGATTTAAGCTAAATTAAAGCTAGCCTTCAAAAGTCAGGTCAATTTTTATGAAAATTAATGTTCAAAACTTAGTCTAAAATTCGCATTTTCCTTAATATTCAATGTCCCTGTTTCTTGCCCTAATTTGACAGAAAAAAATTTTTTTTGTGGGGGTTGGGGCAGTATCTATTCATTCAGCAAAAATATACAGAGAGCACTTACTATATATCAAGATGTATTTGTTTTAGGCAGTAAAAGATACGGCAAGGAACAAAATATTAGCAAAGTCCTATTTTCACACAGCTTATATTTTAATACTCAGAATACAGCCCTAAAAGTTATTTTTCCACATGCAACATGTCCACATACATAAAGTACACACACATATAACATGCATTGGAAACTAACACAAGAGTGGATATACAACTTGCTATTTGCATAAAATACACTAAGTAAAACAGAAAAACAGACTTTAAAAGCCCAAATAATGAAAATAAAAATTTTTAAAGTCATGTTTCATAAGCTATAGAAATTCATTAGATAGATAAATGATTTATCTTTGTTAGGAGAGCTAAGCCTATCGATTCAGATTTTTTAAGTGAGCAAACATAAATTCCAAAATAGCTTGCCATTTGTATTTAAGATTTTTTTTCTTAGATTATGTCTCCTTTCTCAAAATATCTTGCTCTCCCTAACAATGTTTGGATATTTATAAGATAATGAATACATAAATCAAAGCCAAACACTTTGCTGCTAATTCCAATGCAGTCATCCTCTAGGACAGAGTACAACTGCCCCACATAGGATTCCTAAGGCTTCAGATCTTCACTGAAGCACACTGTTCACAACTGTTCCCTCAGGTTCACGCTGTTGACATTTGGTTAGCAGCCAAGCACTTTAATCACTACACCATCAAGGCTCCTTAAAATAATGCACATATACATACAAGCAGAAGTACCAAAACAACAGAACGAGCCCAACTGAAGATGCACTAAATGTCTAAGTGAGACAGCTTAAATACCAATACGAACTAAGCTCTTCTTTTGCATTCAAAATAGTGCAAGAGAAATGATAGTGTCACATTAAAACCACGCAGGCAGAAAGTATTCCTGCTGGCACTAGCAGAAAATTTAAAAGAATGTAAGTATAAATTAAATTAAAATTTTAAACATAAATAGCATAAAGTTTTTCATGAGATCCCGTCTGACCTTTACTAGAACCTTGCTATATACTTAAACAAGAGGAAGGTTTCCCCCATCAAGTACAAAAACTTTTCTTGGGAGCTATCCAACAGTAAAATAGCCAACATGTATTTCCTGGCTATGGAATAGAACAGAACATAGAAAGAAGAATTTCAGACTTGCACACATAGGATCCTTCCAGTACATTTCATTTTATCTTTATTAAACCTCATTTCATAATTTAATCTAAATAAACATTTCAAAATTACACTGTTATACAAATGAAAATGTCTCTAAGGAACAAAATTATTTCATTACCACCTTAATATTTCTCAATCCCTCAAGCATCAAGTGTAACCAAACACCCTCCAAAACTCCAACACTACAGCATGAAGATGAGGGATGGCTACGTGACACCCAGGTAAATTCATTCATACTTACCTCCCCATGTACTTGTGCCCTGAGAGGCAGTTGACAACGAGTGTACAGATGGGTGAAAAGTTGGCTGTTGCAAATCAAGCAGATCATTTGGCAGCTTTGATGTGCTAGAAAGATATTGTGAGAAAAAAATGTATGAGGTAATTTTTGCTACATTTGTCACCATCCCCAAATGAAAGCATTAAAAAGGTAAGTAAGGAAGAGAAAAATGCAGTAATACAAATCTGAAAATGTGGCCATTTCAACAAGATAACAAATAACCCCCATGAAACAATCCAAAAAGGTCTAGAAAAAACACTCAAACATCATACACTTTTGAAGGATTCAGATAATAGCGTTTCTTCAAAAAAGATCAATGACTTCTCCAGAAAAGTCCTGATTCTGTCACTCAACTTAGACATGATTAAAAATATAAAATACTATGACAATTTAAATTTTTCCTCACCTTTTAACTTCCCATAAGTTGAATCGCATTTAATATACCAAAGCTCCTAAGCAAAATATCCTTTTAATCTCACCTCCACTGCCCTCTATAACCGTACAGCAGATCAGCGATACAGAAAGAAATCACACACTTATCTATGGTATAAGCTTATAAAAGAGCCATCCCATTGCAGAATTCCAAAACACATTATCTCCCTAATATTTTTAAGTATTTAAAGGAGCCAGAAAGAGACTGTTGTTTTAGGCCCGGTAATTAATATTTTATTTTCACATAAATAAGAAACTGAAAAGTGGCATAGATAATTTTTACCATATACACAATTAAAGAAGTTTTGAAGACAACTTTTGGATGTAAAACAATTTTCTATATAGAATTACAAAAATACTTAAAAACTTTTCTCAATGAGAAAGATGTATACTTTAAATCTCAAGACGTAAAATAAAGACCTAGCATTTATCTAGTGTCCCGTAAGTCTCAATATAAAGAGTAGAGAGCTATCATCCCTCTAAGATGCCCTGGTAACACAGTGGGTAATGTGCTGGGCTGCTAACCAAAAGTGCACAAGCTCAAGCCTACTAGCTACAACATGGGAGAAAAATGAGGTTGCTTGTTCCTACAAAGATTAACTGTTTCAGAAAGTCTACGGAACAATTCTTCTCAGTTTATAGGTTGCTGTAAACCGGAGTCTACTCGACCACAAAGGGTTCAGGTTTGGTTAATCATTTATCTATTCTTATTCCCTGCATTTATGAAATGTATAAATTAAAAATTATATAGTTAAACAAAACAATATGATCTCAAGGAGCCTAATTTTGAGAGTATATAAACCTAAATTAAAATAGAAAAATCTCATATCCAAAAATTTCCTACTCAATCATAATTACTTAACATCACTTCAAGTTAACATTAAAAACAAAATTACAAATATATTTTGTGCACTTGGGAAAAATGCAGGATATAAAATAAGCATATTTTAAGTGGGTTATAAGATTTGTCCCAATTACTATTAAAGGAATGAAAATTTATAGTATAAAAGTAAAATAACACATGGTCAAATTAGTTCTTTATCCTATATGTCTCCCTCCTCAAATATTCAACATTCGTTCCATTCATCACTCCTAAAAACACACAAAGTGATGGAAAAACACAAACCTATATTCAACAAATATATAGTAGGATTTCAGGGAACAGAGAGCAAAGAGAAGCCAAGTTAGTAAAGCTCACACTGAGCTGTGGCAAGATTCAATAGAGAGTAGAAAAAAATTTAAGGCTGAGGTAAGTAAATAGCATCAACAACAAAATCAAAGGGAAAAAACGCTTACCACATTCTATGGCACTGTAGCCAAATGCCACTCACTACACTAAATTCGAGTCACCAGGAGATAATAGAAAAGAAAATGCTTGGAACTGCACCCATCCCCCCATTCTAGACCTACTAATGAAAAATTCTTTGAAGGTGGGGTCCAAATATCTGTGGTTTAATAAACCCTCTGGGGTAATTCTGATACACGGTACAGATTGAGACCACTGATCTAGCTTCCACTTTTGAACACTGTGAGGTTTAAAAAAAAAAGGAGGTGGGGTGGGGTGGAGAACAGATTAAGAAAAAGCCAATCATTCTAATTCACCTGGAAATATTAGATCCCCATCGTTGTGTAGCTTACATAAAACAAGATTATTTAGATTGGTCTGGAAAACTTCAATAATGCAGAAATTTAGCAACTAAACTCTGGTACTGTGATCTAGATTAGAGATTAACACCAGAGATATATTTAATATCCAATGAAAGGATGTATTATAATATATGAAACACACACACACACACAACACACATATTCTAGAGTAAAATTATCTTGGACCACTACCACACTTCACAAATGTGTCCAGTCATAACTTTTATATAATCAAGTTTGCCCATAGATAATCCACAATATAACAATTATTATAAATTTATAATTTAGCATACTCCATCTCCTAAAATGTAAAAGACAAAATCTTATCATCTTCTATTTAGGTATTATACCACTATCACCAAACATGATCATAGAAGCAGCAGTCAAGCAATCAAATGACTTCCTGAACTGGGAAAATCTGTAGCAAAAGACCTCGTTTTAAAGTGTTTATGAGTAAGGACATCACTTTGAGGAGTAAGGTGTGCCTTATCCAAGACATGGTATTTTCAATCGCTTCAAATGCATATGAAAGTTGAACAATGTATAAGGAAGACTGCAGAAGGATCGATGTATTTGGCCAGAATGCTCCTTAGAAGCAAGGATGGTGAAACTTCATCTCACATACTCTGAACAAGTTATCAGGAGAGACCAGTCACTGGAAAAGGCCTTCATGCTCGGTAGAGGGTAGCGAAAAAGAAAACCACCCTCAAGGAGATGGAATAAGTGGCTATAACCAAGGGCTCAAACAGAACAAAGATGATGAGGATGGTTTGGGATTGTAATGTTTCATTTGTAGCACATAGTACACAGGGTCATTATGAGTTGGTCTTGCATGGTGCTGCTGCTGCTGCCACCCACTACCACCACCATTTATTACCACTTTGTTTACAGTCATAAAATCACAAATCAAAGGAAACTGAAAAGCTATGCAAAATTAGAAGACTTTCAACCTAAATATTCAAAGGTCACTTGAGCTTTTCACTTACCTGTTAGAACTAGGGGTAGAAAATATGTCAATGGCTGGTGCAGTCATTATGCCCCCTGCTGAGGCAGACACAGGAGAGGCTGCAGTTGTTAAAGAGGTATGCGGTTTCTTTGCAAGTTCTTTTAGTCGTTGTTCCTGTTGAGAATATAGCTTAAATAGCTTAAAAAATTCAGAAACCAAATTTGTTCAGATGGCCTCAAACAAACAAAACACAGCATTCATTTACTTATTTTGTTTTGAGAACGAGTTATTTGCTTGCTGTTTCATTCACTCAATATTCACTGTCAGGACAAAAAAATTAAAGCTACTAATTTCCCTTCATTTAGATAAGTGTACATTAAATACTGCCAAGTCTGTTCAGAAGGCTCTTTTACTTTCTCAACACATGTATCTGTTTTCCCATATAAAAAGAACATGCACACCTACCTTTAAAGCTTTTAAACGAGCCTGCTCTTCCTCTAGTGCTGCCTGCTTTTCCCTTTCATCCACTTTGGTTAGGGAGAGGCCAGTACTTGCCAAGGAAGAGACTGCATTGGAAAGTGTTGTTGCCCTAGGGTAAATGGACAGAGGTGATATGGCTTTTTGCCAACATATCACATCACAAACAAGTCATGAAATGACTTGGCAACCTCACTATGGTTAGGCACTATAATTTAGAATTTAACCCTGGAGTTAAAACCAGTACTTCAGAGGAAATCGTCTACTGACTGACCTATAAGATTATAGCAATCAGAACAATGCTGATTTATACACTAGAGCCACAGCTTTTAAAAATAAATGTCAGAGCATGGAGAGGGTTCACAAGAGAATAGCGCAGTCTCTTTTCAGCTCTAAAGGAAGGGATCAACACAAACGGGAAAGAGCTCCAAAACTTGCCTAGGAAAACCTTACAGGCAAGAAGTATTGGGTTTCTCACTTACTGAAGTATATTTTTACACTTCATCAATATTTTCATTCCTTTTGCAAATAATTTAGGCGTGGTAATTTTGGCTTTTCTAATCTACTACAATAATTCAAACAGCATATTTGGATTAAAACATTAAAATCTATAATGACATTTAAACAAATTTAATTTTCTCTACAAAATACTCAGGGAGTCCTCAAGGTGCTTCCCAGTAAGCACTGGAACGCCAACCATGAAGTCAGTGGTTCACACCCCCGCTGCCCCAAGGAAGGAAGAGCCTCTGCTTCCACAGCGACGGACAGCCTTGGAGACCGTGCATACAGCAACGATGACTAGATAGCCTTGGAGACCGTGCATACAGCAACGATGACTAGATAGCC